CCTTGGGCTGCAGCGGCTCCTGTAAGGCACAAAAAAAAGCTGGGATCCTGGTAGCACCAACAAGCAACTTGAGCTTCAGCTCTCACATTTCACAGTTTTGCAAAGCCATTTTTCTTCTACATCCTTGATCTGTCTGAGAATGATACCTGGTGCTCTTCTACTGTCCTCTCTTGAACATAAACCATGCATTTTTCTTCCAGACAATTTCTTTTGCACCATTTAGTTTTGCAACAGTCATCCCCCAGAGTCACAGATTCTTGTTCCCTTTTCTGCTGAGCTATTATTTAATTTGATATGGCACTTTTCCTGACCTTTGGTCTCCCTCTTCTCTGGCAAATTTTAATAATTTTTGCCACCATAACCCTTACAATCAGTTATATAGGACTTCTTGATTTCAATATATTTGATTTCCTGATATTAAAGAGTATTTTACTGTTATATTTTGTTAAATTCAAGTTTCAAGTTCAGATCTTGAGCATTACTTCAATGCTTCCCCTAGTTCCACCTTGTTGTCAGGAAGCTGATCCAGGATGAATGCTTTTCTGCTAAAACTTCTTCCTGTTTCTTATCAATTATAAAATGAGGGAGTTCTTCTAATTGTTTTCAGGGTTATTTTTCTGTATAGAAACTGGATAGATAGATCTGTTAATTCCTAGATGTACAGATAGTTAAACCACCTCAAGAGCACTGGTGATTTGAGTACTCTCTAAAACAGGCTCTGTGACTCCTTATTCACGTTATTCTTTCCTTCTCCTTATTCCACCTTTGTACCCTCTTCTATCAATCTTCACCCTTGCTCTTAGGAGTTACCTGTCATAATATATGACACCAGTAACTGTGACACCACTGTGTCCTATCTCTGCAACACCCATTAGATTGGCAGAGCACGGACCCTGCCTGGTTCAGCTGCATCAGGAAGGTTAGGAATAACCTCGGGCACTCAGTACCACTTGGCTGTTTCCTATCGTCTTGTGTTTATACTCAGTTACTGCAAATGTGAGGGGGAAAAATAAATCCTTAAAGCATATTGGGGCATTCAGAGGAACAATGCAAATAGTTTTAAACAGCTACGTGGTTTTATTTTCCAGCAAGATCAGTCTGATGAGTAACTTATAAAGTAAATAAATCATGATTCTTGCTGTCAGTGTGTATTATAAACTCTACAAAATGTCAGAGGTCCTTTTGTTGCCTTCCTGCTGGCTTTGCAGAAAGGTGAGGACCTGAGGAATGCCATTCCCAGAGGCCTGTTGGCATAGACAGAGAGGCTGATAGGACCCACATGCTGGTTTGGCTTGACACAGAAGCAGCAAACAGGCAAAAATCAATGTTCTTCCAAGGTGAAAGGAATCAGTTCAGTAAAAAAAAAAAAAAAGAAAAATCTGAAAGCACAAAATATGATTTTTTTCCAGAGACCAGAATGAGAAACCAATAGTGTATAGGAGCAGACAGAGGGTGGCTGGCCCTTGCTTCCAGGGCAGCTTTTTGCCTAAACGCTTCTTAGTAAGGGGCCTGAATTCAGTGTGACTGAGTCACACGGAGTGAAATGCAAACTTGGCTCTGTAAGAATTAAAAAAAAAAAAAAGTCACATGTTTCTGCAAAGGTATTAAAAGTATCCTGTTGAGGATACTTTGTTGCCTCTGTGGCTGCCAGAGAGGGAAAGAATCCTGATCTGTCCCATGGCCAAACCCTGGAAAATTAAACCCTTTTTCTCAGGAGCCTTTCACCTTGTTGGGCTGCTCTGAAAATCTGGAGACAAATCAGAAATTGCCTTGAAAGAAATTTCGTGGTGGTGTGTTCCCTCTCCTGAAGATGATACTGTTCACAGCTGCATCAAAGGGAAAACACTAGAGAACAGTACTTGGATTAGAAGCTTTCAGTGTCAGTCTAGGGATGTATGTTCGAAGTGGTCACCAACCCCGGCAATAAAAACTCTTGGGAGAGAATGCTGCTCTTCTGAAAAATGGCAGACAGTCTAACATGTTAACAATGGGTTATGCTGTCATTAAGGCTATAAAGGATATGAAGTTTTGTGCTTCAGGGCATAAACCAGCCTCTCTGTCAGCCTTGGCAGCAGTGGAAACTTAGCAAATAAGATGATTATAACATGATTGTCCATTGTGGGGGTTTGTGTGTCTTTCTCTGAAGCATTCGATGCTGGCCACGGCTGGAGACAGGATATCTGGACTAGACATTGGCTGGACTACTAATCTGATTTAGTATAACAGACCTTTTATTCCTATTAAGTCTCAGTACAGAGTCAGGTTTCAACTAGTACTGATGGCCATGAAATGCTAAATCCACAGCCCAGTCTACTTGTAGATACCTGGCACAATTCTTCTCAAAGGGAATAAGAGCGTGGTCAAATTCAACTTATGCCATGTCATATTTTTCAAACAAGAAGTAAAAAACAAGTTGTATACTTTATAATTTTCTCCCAGAAATTGAAAAAGCAATGATGATGAATGATTTTGTACCTGGATGGCTAAATTCACATGACGGTTCTGCAAAGGAGACTTAATAGAAATAAGATTCGTGCATCTGACTACAGGATTAAGCTCCAAAAGCAGAATAGCCTTTTAAGCTCTCTATGTTGCTAGCATTCCTCTTGAACAGCATTTCCCCTTTTTGCTTGATCCTCAGATGCAGAAAGTATTTGTTTTCTGATGTGTATGCCTGTAACACTTGCTTGGGGTTTATCTGCAAGTTGATCCCAGACTCAGCCCGCATTTACACTTTTGCAGGGTCCCTTGTTACAGCCAACTACTGCTGACCACAACTCTCATTTCCTCTCTCTGCAAATGTGAAATGAATACTATCATAACCGACCTTCTTAGTATGTGCCAAAGAGAAAAGGTTTTTTTTCTGTTTTATATTTGACTATCCTGCATTTCAAATTACAAAACTGGTGGGATTTACCCCTATCATCTTATGTAGTACAACTTCTACCAGGATCATCATGCAACACCTCTTTTTATTCATTTGTCCAGCACAATCACCCTAAAATGATCTCCAGCATGTACCAATTGTGCCAGATCCTCCATTCATTTGTGTTTGGTCATCTTGGGTGAGAGCTGGGGAGAAAAAAAGCATTCAAATGTGATATAAATATCACCTGTTGAGTAGACCAAACACTATGAACCATTTAGGACAGAACATGATATGTACTTAGACCATGCTGTGCCTAACACTGTGGCATTCTGGTCAGCAGTCTTAACTGTAGATTAGTTTAGAGATAATAATAATAATAATAAATCAAAAACATAACTGACTTCTCTTGATCAGTACTGCTATATGTCAAAGAGAGGAGCTGATTCTCATTTATACAGCATTTGACAGAAAAGTTGACCAACTCGACTGTATGCACAAAGCATCAAGGACCTGAAATTGTCAGGACTTCTGACTTCTCCTGTACCCCACTTCTTCATCAACTCAAAATGAGTGATCCTTCCTCTTAATGGACTGCTAAAACAGACGCAAAAAAGCAAAACCTGGAGAATCATGCTGTTTTCTTTCCCATGGTGATGTCCTATGGATGTACCTGTCTTTATGCACCACAGATGAGTTCCTCCATCTAAATAATTAAAAAGAATCATCTCCAGTGCAGCAGATGTGCCCTGCTGCTGCCTTCTTGCCTTGCTGACCATTCATTCAGTTTGCCTGTGCCTGTTGCTGTCCTTACTTGCCTGACTTGCTCGGGCACATGGACTTCTCGATGTTCAGCTGAAGGGTATTTCCACATAACCTTTGGCAATTTATCCTGTGAACTGTAAAGGATTACACGGTCTGCCTTGCCTCCTCATAGCAGAGCAGGTGGGAAGGGCCATGTACCTCAGTTGTCACAGTGTGGCCAAGGACAAAATTTTGAGTTGCCACCAATTTCAGTTTACAGTAGGAGACAGCTGTGATCTGCAGGGTGTCTACAAGGCCTGACCGAGATTGGGGATGTCACTGACTCCCAAAAATGTACTACCTAAGCAATTAGGCTGGCAAGAGAGGGAGTGATGTACCTGAAGTCATACGATGCATGACAGTACATGCATCCTCACAGAGATCACACATGTAGGGCCACTTCTGCTGGCCCCCAAATCTTCTCCCAGGCATCAGACAGGACTGCTTGCTGTCCGATCTGTCTTCTGAGGTAAGTAGTTTTGTGCTATTTTGGGTCAGAGTACAAAATAAAGAATTATAACCTCTACAAGGGATGGTGTCTCACCAGGAGTTGCCTTTGCAGCATGAAATCTTAAGGAAGAAAGGCAACCTCAAACTTTTAGTATTAAAGGGAACAACTCTGTCTTAATTTCCTGTGGTTTTACATGAGATTTGTCCACAAAGGAACCATCTGTCACCATCTGTTTGATTTTCTTGATTTATTTTTTTTTTCTTGGACAGTTTCACAGTATTGGTATGTGAATGTGCCTCTCCACACCCCTCTCAAAAGGCCAACTAATTTCTTCAATAGATTTGCACCTTGTGTGGATTTTTGTGTCTTTGAGGTGGAGTGTACTTTTCATCAGGTACTGCCTTTCTTTGTTGAATGCTGGTCTCTGGGAGCTGGATGGAATAAGGAACAAAACACCCAACACACACACCAGCTCAGGTTACTTGGATCCCTAAAAAACATGGAGCTCTTCAGGAAGCGAACTGGCTTTTGAAGGGGCGTTTGACATGCTGAAGGGAGTGCTCTTTCTCCAGGTGCTTCCAAGCTGGAAGTCATTGTTTGCACTGTGAATCTTACTGGAGCTTTTTTCATTATTAAAACTACACATTTTGGGGGAAAAAAAGAACCAAAACACACACACACCAAAAAAAAAAAAAAACAAAACCAAACCAAAACCAAAACCCAAAAACCAAAAACCCACAAGAAAACCGTGAAGAATAATGTGAGAAATGAGAAATACAAAGAAGTGATGTACAGACCCAGACTTGTAGATCTGGGGTGCAAAAAAACCCCAAACCAATGACATGAAAATATAGCAAACTTCCAGGATCTGAGGGGGGCCTACAGGGTGGATGGAGAGGTTCTCTTTGTCAGGAACTGTAGCAGTAGGACAAGGAGTAACGAGTACAAACTGAAAGAGGGGAAATTTAGGTTAGATATTAGGAAGAAGTTTTTTACTGTGAGGGTGGTTAGACAATGGAACATGTTGCCCAGGGAAGTTTTGGATGCCTGAACCAAGGTAAGGTTGCACAAAGCAACCTAGTCTAGTGGGAGGTGTCCCGGCCCATGGTGGCGGGGGGATTGAGAGTAGATGATCTCTATGGTCCATTCCAACGCCTTAACATTTAATGGTTCTACGGAAATTCCTTTTTTTTTTTTTTTTTTTTTTTTTGGAAGCCGTCCAAGAGGACAGCGCGGGCCACGCGCTGGGAACGGCACCCGCTGCGGGAAGAGGGGGCTGCGAAGGGCGCACCCGTGAACGCCCCCGAGGAAGCTGCAGCGCCCTTGGGAAAACGCCGATTTCCGTGGCGGTCGGGGCGTCCCCGCTGCCCGCCGGGGGGAACCGTCGCCGCTGCCGCGGAGCCCCCGCAGTGCCGCCCCGCCGACACTGAGGGAGCGCGGCGAGGGTCGGGGGGCGCGCCCAGCGAGGCGGGACGGGGCCCCGCGGAGGGGGGGCGGCCCCGCCCCGGCGGCGATCGGAGCCCGGCCGCCTACAAGCCCCATGGTGCCGCGCGGGGCGGCGGCGTGTGACGCGCCGGGAGAGGGGGCGGTGGCGGCGGCGGCGGCAGCGGAGGGTCCGTGTCTCCCCTGCCGCGTCCCCTCGCTCGGCTCGGCGGGCGCCATGTTGGCTTGAGCCGAAGATGACAGGGGGCGGCTGCGGGCGAGGATCGCGCTGAAGGAGCGGCACCTTCGGCTCGTGGCGCGGCTAGCGCGGCTCTTGGGGGGCGCCCGGAGCGGCCGGCGGACGAGGCGGGAGAGGGAGGGAGGGCGGGCTGAGGAGGCGGCGGCGATGCGAGCGGAGAGCTGAGGCTGCGGGAGGCGGCCGCCGTCGAACGCCCCCCGGCCCCCGCCGAGTGCCGCGGGGGAGGGCTCTCCCCTCCGGCCGCCCTCCCTCCCCGGCCCGTGTCCCCGCCGGCGCTGTTGGATGCCGCACAGCGCCTAGGGGGGGCCGCAGCCCGGCGTCCTCCCCAGCGGCCCCGGGCCCACCCCGGCCCTCCCGCCTCCCTGCTCCGCCGACCAGGGCAGGAGCCAGGTCCTGCCTGCACGCCCGGGTCGCCTGCGCCGGCTGAGGAGGTGACTTGGACGCACTATTATCCCGCGTGAATCATCCCGTCGTCATTTGCCGAGGCTGGGAGAGAAGGCAGAGGGAGAGAAGGGGGGAAAAAGCCCGCACGCAGCTCATGTGGCGGTGTAGTCCTGCTGCCTGGTCTACCTGGCACCGCTGGTGCTGCTGCCGCCACCGCCGCCGCTGCTGCTGACAGGGATCTGCTGCCATCTCTGGTCTCCCGCTGGCTCCTCCGGTACAGCCTGGCACCGCTGCCCCTGGATATCCCTGCTCCTCAGCCAGCCGCCTTCCCCGCTGCTTGCCGGGCACTTATTTCGCGTAGGGGACGTGGAAGCTGCTGCCTCCGACACTGACACCGGTTTTGTTTCTTGAAGATCTCCAGCGGGCTGCTCTTGGTGCTGCCTTTTTTTTTTTTTTTTTTTTTTTTTAAAGTTCATTTTAAGCCATTTAGGGTAACATCAAAATGTCCAGCAGTGTTCCAGCTGATATGGTGAGTCTTGGACTCTTTATTAGTAGCATTATTATAGAATAACGTTTATTTCGACCTGTTTTTGGCAGAGAAGATGGAAAGAAGGGTGTGGGAAGAAAAAACCAAAAAAGTCTCCGTTGCGTATTTAAGGAACATTAAGTTCCCAGTTAATAACTCCCCCTCCCGCCCCAAATGCTGGTTCTGCTTCGCTTTTTGGTAGCGGAGTGGGAGATCTGCAGCGTCGCCTCCTGTGTAGCAAGGGAAGGGGTATACCAGCGCTCCCTTACCTATGGCCGTCAGTACCTGACTGCTCACGCTTGTCTCGTGTAGCACTGCTCTTCAGCACCGTTGAGCATTTTTTGGGGGAAGATAAATCGAAGTAAAACATTTGGGATGAATTGCTCGACACGGTTTTTTCCTTTTTTTTTTTTTTTTCTTTCTTTAAATACTTCTTAAACTTGACTTGTATCTTGCCGACGCTTTGTCTTCTGATGTTGGTGGGAAGTTAATCTGTTCGCTTGCTGCCGGGTGAAGAGCGAGAGAGAAATTCTCATGGGCTTTATTTTCATGGCGAGGTTCTTTGTGCACTAGCTGCAATCTGGACGTTTTTCAAGGGCACTCCTAGTACTTCTTATGGCGGACTGTACTTCAGCTTGTATTGGATACTCGGCTCCGTACATTTAAAATAGGAAGGGATAGCTGGGCATGAGGAGGTAGGGTGAATCAGGTCTGCTGGGTAATCGTCCGTTCAGCACGACTTTCTCCGTTTGTATATATTTCCATGAATCAGGATACATTTCCATAAATCACTTAATTGGGGAAAAATAAAACCCCAAACTTGTAGCTACAGTTAGGTATGTTAGTTCTTTATTCTTAGGGCAGAATATTTTCATGTATCTCCACATGACTGTTCACATTTAAAGGTACTTGCCCCCCACCACCACCCCGAAAGCAGAAGATTTGTCTATGTTGGGTTTTTTTTTCCTTTGAGGGTGAAATTCTGTTTTGAGTGTAAAACCTGCCCCGGTAGTGCTAACGGTAAAACCGAGTAGCCCTTGTTTCAGTCATACTTATGGCAAGTGGGCTGTTGAAATAATGGTATCCTGTTTGTTGCTTACTTTAAGTGTTTCCTTCGCAGCTTTTGTACAGCAGTCACAATGAGTAAATTTTGACCAAAAAAAACCCAAACCAGTAAGATATTGGGGATGATCAAACACCTTTATAAGCTTACTTTTTTTTTCTTTTCTTCCGCCTGCCTTTCTCAAATACTGTAAATAAATTTTGCTTCCCCTGGACGAAAAGAGCGATCAAAGGATTTGAAGTCAGAGGCAATAATCTCCTCAGCTATCAGTTCTCACATATTTCTTTTTGGTCTCTCTCTCTGACTGTTAAAGCCTTCTGAACCCCCTTCTTGCTTGCGCGTGGCTGTCTAGCGTTATATCTCAGAAATCCTCGCCTTGGCTGTGGAGGATTAGATGCAAATCTCAGTGCTGCTTTTTAAGTTGCCTGGAGGAGTCCCTTGACTGTGACATGAAGCGCACTCCTCTCTCACCCTGGGCTGAGCTGCCACCTCCACACTCCTACTAGGTCCTGGCTGCCACTAGGCCTGTAATGTTTTACATTTTCTGCAAAAGATACAGATGTTAAGACAGGTAAAATACAATTTTGATTTTATGAAAACTATTTCCTTCTGTTGTTACAGTGTAATGAGAATACCACTACCGGGAATAGCTGGGCCTAGTGCTGCTCTGTTTATTCAAATCAGGAAGAAGCTTGTTATACATAGTGATGTTTAAATACTGAGTCATTACAAAAACACTTGAATGAAGATGTTACCAATGACGATAGAATTTAACTGAATAAATAGATATATTCTGCTCTGGATGTATTCTGCCCTGTCTTGGGATCATTTGTCCTTTATTTTCTGCATTATTAACTGCACTTTCTCTATGAAAGTTTGATGTGTGTTGTGGAAATTCCAGTTATTAATTACAACTGATAAATATTACTTTATAAAAAGAGTGCTTGAAAACTCACTGTGGGTCTCCTTTTGTCACCATCCTCCATATTTCAAAGGAGCTTGTTCAAGAAAGAAAATGAAATTGCCGTTTGTTTGCTCTTTAAAGAGGAGCACTTACCAGGCTGTCACGTTGTTTGTATATGTTTTTATTTAATGTAGGATTTTGAAGTTTGCGTTTCTCTTATCCACCCACTTTGTAATTTGCATTTGCAAAAAATTGATTTCCCATTTCTTCAGGAGTTGGCATCAGTGTGATGGAGTGTCATGTTATGAAGACTCCATTACACTTAGTAAATCTGCTATGAATTACATAAGTATTACAATAATTATCCTGGAGACTGTTTATGTCAGATTCATGAACTAACCCTCTCATAATAATAATATTGTAATTGCTACTTCTTAAAAATGTGTTCATTTGTCTTCCTGTCCCACCTTTGAGAATGATGTGCTCTACATAAATTCATAGTAAATTATCTGATCTTCAGCAAGCTTTGTATTTGTAAGTAGGCATAATTTGACCCAGTCTCCTGTTCTCTGACATTTAGTTGACTTCTTTCCAGAACTGCAGCAGATTTTACCAGCTAACCATTTCAACATCACTTCTTAAATAATTAACACAGTACTTTATAATTTGCATTCCACTAATAAATTGGATAGTGACACACCACATTCCGGGTATTGTAAGTTTGTGGTGCATTATTCCTTGGCAATGTGTGCTACTTACAGGTTAAAACTCCACTCCTGAAATAAAACCTGCTAATATTGACCTCTCTACCTGAGTAGTTTCATTACCTTCCTTAGGACTAAACATGTATGGGGCAGTACTTGAAGATTATACTGCATATTTAGAGCCTAATTCGGTTCAATTTTTCACTGGTGACTGTAGTGGCAGCAGGGCATCTTTGATATGTTCAGTAATTTCATCAGCTAATTTATCAGTTTTACCATTTGGTAGCAGTTAGAATTTGACTGTGAATGACAGCAGGGTTGTTTGCAAGTTGTATTTCTTTTGTAATGATACATAGACATGAGGTGGTTTATGGTCTTGTGAAATTAATCACGCTGTTTTTTTGAGTGGACCAAATGAAAACGGTTTGATATTTGTTAAAACACTGTAGCTGACTATTTATAACTATGAAAAACTCAGTTCAGTCAAGAAGTTATTCCTCAATTGAATAATCCCCGTTATTTGAATGGAGTCATCACAAGAATCTGGCAAGCTGCATCTCTGTATTCTGTGTGCTTAAGATACTTCTCCTTCTAGTTACAATTCTTCAGAGATCTTAGAATTCCACAGTCTTAGAATTTAAGTCTGCATGACTGAAAAGTATTAACAGTGTCCACTGTTTCCTGTATTTGGTGCATTTTATGTAGGTATGAAAAGGCTCTGCCAGCGCTCTCTGGGCAGTTCTTTGCATGCTCTCTAAGATATCCACTTCTTTTTCTGTGTGAGTAGTAACAGAGGGTGATGCTTTTGGCTTGTGGTGGGGGTTTTATTGTTTGTTCGTTTGTTTTGCTGTCAGTTTTTTTTTTTGGTTTTTTTTTTTCATTTGATAAACAGCAAAGTGCCAGAATCTGTCAAACAATTTAAAGTTTTAATTTTTTATGTGCACAGCGATTGAATCCATATGCTATACTTAAGAGATGTAAGTGGTATGGGAGAGATTATTTTTAAGAAAACTGAATGTTTGGTGCGAGACAGTTGCAGACATACAAGAGGATGAAGTGCATGGTCTAAAATACTTATATGTTTGGGCAATATTAAAGGGGGTAATAGGTGGAAGAACGACAAATAGAAACCCTGCTCAGTTCACTCCTTGTTAGTGTCAGCATCTTTAATGGAAATGTGTAGGTGCATGTTCTTTTTTAGGAAATTTAATATAGAATGGTGATGAATAGTTTAACATATATAGGGACTTGCTTTTTCATACATATTAATGGAGGCTAATGGTGGAAAAGGTTGGACTTGTAGCTGATGCTGCATCAGCAGGGGAATCTTAGCATCCAAGAATAAGGCTCAGACAGGAAAGATTCAAAGGAGTAACTGGTTGTATGGCAGCTGAATTTTGTTGTCCACCGTTCAGTCTAAACGCTCATTTAGGAATAATACATGTACTTTGTTCACTGATAGCATTTTAATGTATTGGAACAAAATGTGAGAAGTCATACATCTCTGTTCTTCTGTTTTAGCTGCTTTTCATTTTGCCTTCAGCAGATCCTTTTTCTGGTTTTGAAAATTAATGTATTCCTAGTAGCCTCTGTGCATCATAGTCATAAGTTAGTCCCCTACTTTTTTTAATAATAAAAGTCTAATTATTTCTCTGTATTTTTGTAAACCCCCACATGTTGAAAGTTCATTACATTCTATGATAAAAGTAGCTTATCGAGTTTTTCTGTATGGATATTTTTTCCTTCCCCTTTTTGATTTTTCACAATTATTTGCTGATTGTAACAGATAGGAGTAGCCTATTTTTTGCCATTTTCAAGTGTTTGTTTTGCGTTGTTTGCCTATTCTTGGAAAAGGAATTGGTGGGATCTGTGTTAGAATGAACAGCTTGAAGAAGCTTTTTCCTGACTGCGCGTATATTGAGCAATATATAAGCCAGTTGAGCCCTTGTGTAGCATATTGCAGTGCTTCTTGTAACAAAATGAAGAACCTCCTTCTTGTTATCTGCAGCAGTGGCCAGGGATAAACTTAGCAAAGCTGATGTTGAGTGTATA